AGATGAATTTGAGTTGGGAAGTGGAAACTGGTGGGACAATAGCAGAAATCGATCGTTTGACAGCGGTACAACACCCGCTTCGATTTCGACGACCTTGAACACCTTAGCCAGCTTCGGATCATGGCCGCCGGAGGCGGCGCCGCCGCCGCCGCCGCCCGACGTCAACAAATCGATCGGCGACCAATCCACCTCCGATCGGAACTTGCAAATGATGGGTTTGGGCTGGAATCAAACTCTATTGTAAGTTTAATTCCATTAATTTAATCGATATACAATTTAAATATTTATTTAATCGATATACAATTTAAACAGTAGAGGTGAAAAAGTGGAGACAAGTTTCCGGTCGTTGCTTCAAGACGAGTTTCACGAGCCGAAGCTATATTCCGGTCCATCATCAGATGACTCGTCTGTGAACCGGTCGGGTTTTTCCCTGGACCAAACGGCGGCGTTTAGCTCTCAGGCAAGCTCCAACGACAGCACCATAACATCCGGCGCTGGTTTCCAGGTGGATTTTCACGGCATGATGCTCTCGGAAAATCAGCAGTCGCCGTATAATCAAAATCGGCCGTCAGCGAATTATCAGTATGGCTCCGAATACATGAATAAATACCCGCAGTTCATGAGAACGCCGCCGCCTGTGGCTGACGGCAGCAGCCATTTGCATTTCACTAACAATACCCCTTTCTGGAACGCTTCTGGGCCAGCCCAGGCAGATGCTCGGTTGGGCTTTTTTCCGGCCCATCAGATTCCTACCCCACCTTCATTTCATCACCACAAATCAAAGGTAACTAACTTTATTTCATGATATAATTTTATTTTGTTTTTTCAAGTAAATCCAATCTCCAGAATTTACGTATCGACTAGCTAAAATATTTGATATATAAATTATAATTGATGCAACTACACGTTATGTTCGTGTAGATTTCAAGGGTTTAGTTTTTTCGTTCTCACTTGTGGGCATGACATGGTAATTCTTATAATTTTATTTTTTTTAATAAGAAATAATCGAAGTTTAATTTGTGAAAAAAGAATACTGGCTCAGAATTGCGGGAAATAAGCGCGACACCAAAGAAGAACAGCCCAGAAACGTCAAATAAAAGGGCGAGGGGGAATGAATCCACTCCTCCGCCATTGCCAGCTTTTAAGGTATATTCAGATGCTTAATTTATTTGTTAATTTGTAAGCTGTATAAGTTGGTCATCATTACTACAGCTTTTTTATTTACTTTTATCCAGAGAGCACAGATTTAATTGGTATATAATCATTTGGGTTTGTTTGTTTCTTTGTGTTCATAGGTGAGGAAAGAGAAGATGGGAGACAGAATAACAGCACTTCAACAATTAGTCTCACCTTTCGGAAAGGTACTCTCCCATAAACTTCTTCTTCAAAATCTTCATCACTTTTTCATTAATTTCATAATGTTAAAACATCTTATATACATATATATTGATATCATCAATATGAGATTTCACCTTAATTTTGATTTTGATGTTTATGATTTTCAGACAGATACGGCGTCTGTGCTTTCGGAAGCCATTGCTTACATAAAATTCTTACATGAACAAGTCAGTGTATGTCTCTCATATATATATATATATACATATACATAATACTTGTCATAGTAAATTTATTAAACAGTAGCTAATACGTTATTTGTGTTTAAAATGAACGATATCAGGTCTTAAGTAACCCTTATCTCAAGAATGGAGCTCCCGCCCAGAATCATCACCAGGTATATATGTTTATCAAAAGATGTACCTTATATTTTTTTATACCTATTTCTAACATGAGATAGTTAGTTGTTACAATTATCATCATGGAATTAAACACTAATTTTAACTGTAATTATTACAAAATATAAGTAATTATATCATCCTATCCGATTTTGCTTTATAAATGTAGCTGAAAATTTAATTGAAGCAGGTGAGATAAATTTCATGATGAGATGGTATACGAGCTAACTTTTCAAAAAAAAAATAAAAAATATATGTATATATATATATATATTCTCATATTACAATTATAAAATGAAATAAAGGGTTTCTTTTTCTTCAAAATTATAAGCTAAATTACCTATTCAAAGGCATAAACCCTCTACATAGTTTGTGTAACAAATTATTCAATATTGATTTTGGCGCTATATTATTTGAGAAATGTGTTTGAATGATTGGAAAATTGTTGGTATATATATACGTATATATTTAACAGAATGCCGATAAATCCAAGGAAGCAGAAGGGGCTCGACAAGATCTGCGAAGCCGAGGGCTGTGTTTGGTGCCGGTGTCGAGCACTTTCCCAATGACTCATGAAACAACTGTTGATTTCTGGACTCCTACCTATGGAGGAACATTCAGATAATTAACCACAAGCCAAGGATTTAATTAATTAATTCACTACCTATGGACTGTTATGCAAATTCTAAATCAAATGAAAAAAAATAAATAATATTAAATAAAAGAGGTGATTCTCAGTTTCTGGCGGGAAAAATTATCATAATTTACTGCTGGTAGAAGCTGAGAACCATTTCATT